CAAGATCTTACCATCCTTGGGCCCAGGTACACACATCCTGGCATAGAGAGGAGCCTGCTGGCCGGTGTCTCGGATGCAGTGACGTCAGGGTCCCAGTGCAGGCACAGACACGTCATCCCTGCTGGCATCACCCTTCCCTTCTCTGCCACCAGCTGCGTCCCCCGGGGAGGGCTTGGCAGCACAGTGCGGAGGGGTTGCTGGGTGTGTCTCCCACAGCCGCGCACTCCTTGCACTTTATCAAAGCGCAGGCACTGTTTCTTTTCGGTTGATTAATGTTCAATTCTCCGTCTATTATGAACCTCCAGGCTTTAATTACTACACCATTACCCAGTCGATTCCTTGCCATTTGATATTTATGGCTTTTATTATGCCTCTGTCTGTGCAACTGCCTGATTTTATTCTGGAAGGATTTCACCTCATTAGCCGGGTTTATACCATTCTTCTTATTTGTCTGGGTTTTTACTTATCTCGGTGTGTGCTTCCTACCAGTACTTTGTGTTTTTACCAATAGGACCGCTTGTTCGTTCTGTTCCTCTGTTTCCCGGGGTGCTTTGTGCTTTTGTCCTCGGAAACAGCGCTTGGCACACTCTGCTCTGTGTCCGGCACATCTCAGCAGCTGGGTGCCACGGCCCTGCCGAGGCCTGAGGCCCGGATATGCCAGGGACAGCCGCCTCCCGCTAAGTGGCCAGTTAGGGCTCAGGGAAGGTGTGCAGTGGGGCTCGTTTCTTTGTAGAAGAGAATTCTCAAAATAATTGCTCAGTGTGCTCAGCAGTGCTTTGCTAACACTCCCTCCCTCCCTCGGCCACCCTGTGCCTCAGAAGAATGTATGGCTTGGTTTGCTTGCATATTTTTTTAAATATGTTTTTATTGATTTCAGAGAGGAAGGGGGGGGGAGAGAGAGATAGAAATGTCAATGATGAGAGAGAATCATTGATCGGCTGCCTCCTGCATGCCCCGTACTGGGGATTGAGTCTGCAACCCAGGCATGTGCCCTTGACCGGAATCGGACCCGGGACCCTTCAGTCCGCAGGCCGATGCTCTCTCCACTGAGCCAAACCAGCTGGGGCTTGCTTGCATATTTTTTTAGGTTCCTCCCTGCACCTGCTGAACAAGAGCTTGGGGAACAGCCCAGCACTCTGTTTACCCTCCAGATGGTTCGGATGTTGGTGCCCATTCAAGTTAGACAATCACTCGTCTAAAGAGACCCTGGTTGGACCTGACTACGCAGGAATAATGTTCACTCCCCCTGAGTGCTGTCTGTCAGAGAGCAAGGTTAGTCCTCTCTGTGGCAGCCAGTTTTGTTTTCTGTGGGGGGTGTTTCCCCACAGCTGCTCCTAGAGCCATATGTCATCGTGGTCAGCAAACCGCAGCTCTTTGGCCACTTCAGTGTGGCTCTTCCACAAAATACCACGTGCAGGTGAGCACATACAGTGCGATTGAAACTTCGGAAGAGCTGGTATTTTGTGGAAGAGCCACACTGAAGGGGCCAAAGAGCCACATGTGGCTCGCAAGCCGTGGTTTGCCGAGCCGCAGTTTGCCGACCACTGCCATATGAATATCTCGGTAAAGCAGATGGCAGCACCTGGAGCAAGAGGTCATGTGGTCAGGATAGCAATAGTAGACCAGTTGTTTTCAGCATTGATGTTTCTTTCTCGCCCTCTTTGTTCATCCCTTGGGATCGAACCCACAACCCAGGCATGTGCCCTGACCGGGAATCCAACCATGACCTCCTGGTTCATAGGTCAATGCTCAACCATTGAGCCACACTGGCCTGGTTATTTTTCCCTTACAGTTTACTTCCAATATTATTTTGTTTGGGGTTCAGGAGCGCACAGACTCATGGTTAGACAATCATATATGTGATTTCACTTATATGTGGAATCTAAAGAACAAAACAAATGAACAAACAAAACAGAAGCAGACTCACAGATACAGAGAGCAGACTGATGGCTGCAGAGGGGAGCCAGGTGGGGAGCTGGCTGGGAAAGGTGAAGGGATTGAGAAGTGCAGGTTGGCAGTCACAGAACTGTCATGGGGATGTACAGGACAGCACAGGGATAGTCACTAATATTGCATTAGCTGTGAATGGTGCCAGGTGGGGACTGGAACAATTAGGGGGACACTTTATAATGTTTAAGATAGTGTAACCACAGCACCAGTTTATACACGGTCCTTGGTGGCCGTGAGGAGACCACAGTGCTTCATGTGACCCCCAGAGTCAAAGCAGCATGAACAGGAAGCCTCCTAGGTGAGGGCTCACTCCAGGCCTGGCTACAGCGAAACAGGAAGGACTGGACTTGCTCCCAACAGGGAGCACCCTGCTGCAGGGGAGGGAAGTGTGTCCATGACAACAGGCTGGATCAGGCCCGTGACAGGATGCCAAGACTGAGAGAGCAGGTGGCCCAGGGGGCAGAGAAGGAGTGGGCTCGAGTGTGGCCAGCCTGGTACTCAGCATTTAGTGGTCACACAGGTTCGTGATCTGGGCCACTGGGAACTCAGTCAACATTTATGGAACTAAAACTGGTGGGGACGGTTCGCACAGCCCCGGTCACTGACCTGAGAGAGCGTCACTCATCTTCAGGGATAAATGAGATAAGGGAGACCCTGGGACCTTTGTCCAGGAGGGCCTGGATTTATGGACTCCTTTCAGTGAGGTTGAGGACATGAATCAAGGTTCTGTTAGTCTCTTGCAAATGAAATCCATGGAGTTTATGGCAGCCTATATGTGAAGGCGATTGTAAGCTATGACAGGGCGGGAAGAGATTTGGAAATGGAAGATCTCAGAAATTGCATTCCATGCAGCCAAGGCTACTCAAGGCCCAAGCACCTCACCTCTTCCTCTCGCTTTGGCATTTTTAATAGGATAATAAATACCTGCCTATCAATCATGCAGACTTACCGGGGATCAGTGGGTAGATCTATGTATATGTACCCTGTAAACTGTAGTGTTGTATAAAACGTGTGGTACTTGATATTGCACCAATACCCATGTTGTATTCTATAAAACACGCGACAGTTACGGCTTCCTTAGGTGTGAGACGTGTTCTAGGGTGAGTCGTCACAGCAGGTTTTAATGCCCCATCTATCATGGTGTCTGTCCCAGTGCGTTTGCTCTTAGAACTGAAGAGGGAGGGAAAAATAAAGATGAAAAATAGGCCCTGATATTTCTAAATGGGGCTTTTCAAACTGTTTTAGGCCAACACAGTTAATACCAGAATGTTGGAATTGAATATCGATATAGCAATGCTTTAAATTTGTAAAGAAGCTACCGTCCAGTTTAAGAATTGTTTCTCATTATAGTAACATCTAATTACTAACACTCATCATCACAGCCTTTTCTGAAACATTTCTGCAAGGGTGTTGACCTGCAAACCTACACAGGCACCTTTAAAAGTCTGTGTCTAAGGAAATCAGTCTGGGACAGCCGTGGGCACACTACGGCCCGCAGGCCGGATCCGGCCCGTTTGAAATGAATAAAACTAAAAAAAAAAAAAGACCGTACCCTTTTATGTAATGATGTTTACTTTGAATTTATATTAGTTCACACAAACACTCCCTCCGGTCCAGTTTAAGAACCCATTGTGGCCCTCGAGTCAAAAAGTTTGCCCACCCCTGGTCTGGGAGGAGGGCCTGCTTTTCCTTCAGTGGTGGGTTAATACGATAAGATGGATGGCGTGTTAAAGAGTAAAGAGCAGGGCTTCTCCAGGCTGATTTACATATTGATTACTTAAATTACTCCTTAATTTAGTGCGGGCTAATAAACTGTGCCTTAGAAATGTTTCCAGAGCATTTATTGGCTGCAGTAATTCTACCTACAGTGTATGCAGATTGCAGCCTCATTAAATATTGATATGCTCATGAAATGTTAATCAGATGTTAATGTGAAGTGCAGGGGAAGGTCCTGGCTGGGAGCTGGCTGGAGACCACCTGTCTCCTGTCTTTATGTTCTGTCTTCTGGCTCTGTTTCTCCGTTCATGGCCCCTCATCAGGAGGTTCAGATTGGCTCCTGGATGCCTGTGTCTCCGAGACACGATTTGTAAAAGAGAAGTAAAGACTCCCCATGGGTGGGAATTTAATTGTTCTGCCTCCTGCTTCCTGAGCTGGAATTCCTGGCTAGAACCAGAGAGGATTCTGTTCAGGAAGATTGTGCAGGAGAGACCGACCGTGAGGAGGAACTAGACTTTCCAGGGCCCCACCGTGTCCTTCCCAGGTCGGCGGGAGAAGGGGTTTGGATGGAGTTTACCTGCAGTTTCTTCAGAGATACACCATCCCAGAACCAATGCTTCCTAAACAGACTGCAAGAAAGACTTTGTATTGTAACTCCCAAGGACAGTAAAGGCTGTGCTCCTGGTGATACTCAGTGCACTCTCCCCACGGGTTCCCCTTTTCCAAACCAGTCAGGGCACCACTCACTTGTCTAAACCTCATGATTAGCCTCCGAGTCTGAGAATGACAAGGGGAGTTATATCATCACTCAAGTAAAGACATTCTCTAATGTACTATTTTGCAAAACTCGCTTGGTGGCTCCGTGGTGAGAGCGTCAGCCTGTGCACCAAAGGGTTGGGGGTTCGATTCCCGGACAAGGACACCTACCTATGTTGCAGGTTCAGTGCCCGGCCCTGGTCAGGGCATGTGCATGAAGCAACCAATTGATGTGTCTCTCACATTGATGTTCCTCTCTCTCTTCCTCCCACCCACCCTTCCACTCTTACTAAAAAAAAAATGGAAAAAATATCCTCAGGTGAAAATTAACAGCAACAATTCTCTCCATAGGCGTCTCTGTAAGTGACAACCAGCAAATAAAGCCTCCTCTCCCAGGGTCTCAGAGGCTGTGGGAGATGAGGGAAATGGGTGGGTTTAGGTGCCACGGTATGTGCTGAGAATACACTGAGAGGACAGTTGGACCCTGGCCCTGAGCGCCTGGCTTGGTGAGCTGGGGTGGCTGTTTCTCTGCTCCGGCGCAGCCCTGCCCTCTGTGACCCGTCCCTTCCTGCTTACAGATTGTGCTTGAGAACAGCAGCCGAGAAGACAAGCATGAGTGTCCCTTCGGCCGCAGTAGCATCGAGCTGACCAAGATGCTGTGTGAGATCCTGAAAGTGGGCGAGCTGCGTAAGTACCCTTGTTGCCCGCCCTGGCGGGGATGACGCTGGGCAGAGAGCAGCTTCCAGGGTCGTGCCCTGACCCCCACAAAGAACTCCCCAAGTGCTGCCAGCTCTTCCCTGGGGTCGCATGCACCGAACTTCCTTTGGCTCACATCCACAGCATAGGTATCTCTGCGTGTCTGCTCTGGGAACAAATGTGGTTAAAACCTGTAAGAATGCGAAAGTGGCAGGTACCGTGACTGAATTTCAAATTTTATAAAAATGAGTATGTATTAAAACAGCCTTGAATTTAATACTCGGTTAGGAAAAAGACCTATGAATTGCTTTTTAAAAAAAATCCAGTTTCTAGCCTACCAGTAGATCACTTTCTTTCCTTTCCTTTGCAATAGTTTTTCTCTATAATGGAAAAAATTGAGAGCCTTAATGAAATCTCTTGCTGCCAGTATCCCACTTGTTTAAAATGCCTTCTCTAAGAAAGAAGGAATTACTGGAGAAAATGGGTAGCAGCTCATGAAACGTCTGGTTGGAGATATGCTTCTTGCTCATTTCTTACTTCCATTGCACAGTTTAAGAGAGGACACCTACAAAAAAAGGGCATGATCATTGTCTTCCCTTTTGCCTATTGGCATCATTCGGCTTTAACCTGTGAAAGAGAGTCGGATGGAACCTGGCTGACAATTATCATCAATATTGAGCCTCCGTAAGGTGTCCGCCTCCCATCCCCTCCACCACTGACGGAGCTGACACGCACATAAATCTTCCCCTGCGCTTAATAAAGTGGGCGCCAGGGAACACTGCTGGCACCAGAGGAATGCTGGGTGTTTGGTGTTACGGTGGAAGCATAAAGATTCCGTCACCTGCTTGAGAGCTGACATGATGAATGGGAAGAAGTCGGCGATGAAATTGGAAGGGGGCTATGTTTTATTTGCAGTGTAGAGCTGACTACAGTATGGCTAAAGTCAACTAGAACATTCAGGACTTAGCAGGAAAAAACTAAGAAGTTGAGCCTGTTTGACTAAGCCCAGCAGTCACGCTTCCTTCCCGGGTGGGTGGGAACTGACACTGAGGGAGCAGCCGTGAAGTTCCTTACTGATGAGCCCCAGTCCGGGCATTTCTCCGTGACGGGAGCAGCCGGGCCTGGGAGAGTTCTGCGTCAGTCTGCGCGGGTCTCTGCTTGCTGATGTAACATGTCGGCTCACCTGGCCTGGATGTGACTCTCTTCCTGCTCCTCCTCAGACTCTCTAGCTGAGATTTCTGTCTGCTGCGTGGCTCACTGGGGGTTCAGCTGAGGGGTCAAGGTCCTGAATCAAGCCGATCCTACTGAATTCCCTCGTCTGACAACTGTGACTATTTCATGTTAATCTCACCTTCATGGGAAAACTGTCGAAAATCACTGGCTAAAGAGTACTGCAAACTAAGACCTTGCGAAATTGGAGACCGTCATGCTCTACCCCCCAAGCTCTCCCCGTCCTGCTCTGCCTGTCATGCTCTACCCATCATGCTCTACTTGTCATGCTCTACCTCTCATGCTCTACCCATCATGCTCTACCCGTCATGGTCTACCCATCATGCTCTACTTCTCAAGCTCTACCCATAATGCTCTCCCCATCATGCTCTACCAATCATGCTCTACTTGTCATGCTCTACCCGTCATGCTCAACCCATCATGCTCAACCCATCATGCTCAACCCATCATGCTCTACCCCTCATGCTCTACTTGTCATGCTCTACCCATCATGCTCTACCCCTCATGCTCTACCCATCATGCTCTATCATGTTCTACCCATCATGCTCTACCTATCATGCTCTACCCATCATGCTCTTCCCCTCATGCTCTACCTGTCATGCTCTACCCCTCATGCTCTACCCCTCATGCTCTACCCGTCATGCTCTACCCAGCATGCTCTACCCATCATGCTCTTGAGTCCCAGTTGGTGCCCATGTTGTCCTTTCCTGCCCCTCCCCTTTCCTGTCCTCCCTCCGGGCCTGCTTTGGCTCTCAGCTCTCATCCTAGTGGCTGCAGAAGGGCTGCCCTTCTGCACTGTGACTGCCATTCCCAGCTGCCTGCTCTTCTCTGCCCAACAGACATATGTCTCTACTGCTGCAAGTTCACACAGAACAGAGACGGTGGAGGACAAGGGGACTGTCAGGAAGAATGGGCAGCTGGGTTCTGCCTCTGCCACTTCCCACCTCATGTCCTTGGCTGACGTACTCACAGACCTCACGGTGCTCTTACCCCCACACTTTATACCAATAGCATAGAGTACTTACTGCATATACTCGATAGCATGTTGTGCTGAGCCGTCATCTGCCGCATGCATCTTGCTTACCGAGTCTCTGGACGGCATCATTTCCTCTTGTGCTTGATCTGATCTCACGTTGGGTTGTGCAGGAACATGCTATCCAACCTGGTAGCTGGGAGCACGAGGCTGAACCGTGCAGCAAGGTGCATAGTGGGCTGTACCATCCAGGTGTGCGGAAGTGCACCCTGTGGTAGTCTCAGTGACAAAATGGCCTGTGGACACCTTTCTCAGAATGTCTCCATCCTAAGCAGCACAGGACTAGCATTTTGTTCATCTTGGCTTGTTCGTAGGTAACCTCAGTGGCTGGAATTGCAGTCATAGGAGTTGAAAGCGTACCCTGGGAACAGATAATATTCAACCCAAGGGGACTAACTTGGAAAAGATCAAATTCCAGGCAGTGTGAGGACAGGGTCAATGTGGATCACTGAGGTCTGCTGGTGGGCAATGTGGTGGCAAAGTCTGCGCAGACAGTGAATGTCAGCTCGGGTTTAGGAGTTGGGCATTAGGGTGGGTACAGAGCAGCCCTCCTGGACCTGGGAGAACCTGGTAGTCAAGCCAGCTCCTGAGATATTAGAGTGGGGATGCAGGTAGATATCTCAGGGAGCTCTGTGGGTACCCCAGACGCTGCCCTTGCACTGTAGGTTATTCTGAACCCCACCTTCTGCTAGAAGGATGGCTGTCAACATTCTGCCACAGGTCGCTCAGCACCTGGCCAGGTCTGGTCTCTGCAGCGAAGCTGAGCTTGGACAGCGAGGCCCTCACATATGCAGAGCAGGTTCCCTTCATCTAAGACGACAAATGATTCGTTCATTTGTTCATAAAAATCTATCACCTACTTATCATGTGCCAGGGACTGTGATAGACACGCCAGTGAAAAGGTGAACGAGATATGGTCCCTGATCCCAGAGGCTTCCACTTCAGAAAGTATTATAAGTCATTTCATATATATATATATATATATATATATATATATATATATAC